ACAGTGGAACCTCAGTTTTCGAACTTATTTGTTCCTAAAGGCCAGTCGTAAACTGAAAAGTTCAAAAACTGCAACAATTTTCCACCATAGGAATCAATGTAGAAGGAATTCATCCATTCCTGGACCCTGGATGGTTTATTATTCAAACTTTTTCAATAGTATTTTGTGTACAAGTTCATACATAAAACCAATAAAAATAATTAGAGCTAACAAAAAAGATAAACACAAACTGAGTAAAGAATCAATCTATAAATAGGAAAGATGATTTCATACAGCCTAACCGATGCTGAGAAGTCGGGATTGCGCAATGTACGGCTTGCCTTCTCACAAATTATTGTTTCTGAAAAACTGTTGCTGGCCGACTGCTTTTTGTTCATCCAAATCAGTAGCAATTTTTCCACTTCACTCCTTTGGCAACCTTAGCTCCTTTTATTGCTTCCTTGTTCTTAATGATGGTACAAATCGCCGACTTGCTGACCATACTGTAAAGTAAAGTTCTTTTTGCCTTTCCACTTTCACTAGATTTTTTAGGTCCCTTGGTGATTTATGAAAAAAAAAAAAAAAAAATAGCACAGTGCAAGAAATACCAGCAAAATCAGACAACAGTTTATAGAGTGTATCCCGAGGGCGGGCTGAGGCAAGACTGATGCCACACCGTCTCTCTCAGTGATCACTCTGTGCCTGCGTGATATTGTTGGCTTGTTCGGCAACCGAGTTATGGCTTCGACAACAGGGGCAATTTTTAGGTTACAAATTTGTGTTTGTGAACTGAATTGTTCGAATAGCAGGCTTTTAACGACCGAGGTTCATACATACATTTGTGTATAAACATGATCTTTACATCATCGACATATTCCGTACAGGCAACTGGAGGAGGCTATGAGGGTGACGAGTACCAAAATGCAGAACTCGTTTTCTTGGACATCCAGAATATCCACGTCATGAGGGAGTCCCTGAAGAAGCTCAAAGACATCGTTTACCCAAATGTAGAAGAGTCACATTGGCTTTCCAGTTTAGAGTCCACACACTGGCTAGAACATGTAAAGGTCAGAGAAAAAAAAAAAGTGTCCTATACACACACACACATCTGTGTTCACTGTCCTACCTTTTTTCGGACTGAGTTTCTGACGACGATATTTTGTTTGTTTCAGCTGGTTTTGTCGGGAGCCATCCAGGTAGCAGACAAGGTTTCCAGTGGGAACTCAGTGGTGGTTCACTGCAGCGACGGCTGGGACCGGACCGCGCAGCTCACCTCTCTGGCCATGCTAATGCTGGACAGTCACTATCGCACCCTTAGAGGATTCCAGGTTAGGAGCAGACAGTAAATCACAGACACATACACAATCAAGACTGTCTGTTACCTGAAGTAAGACATATTTTTGTTTTGATACAGGTGCTTATTGAAAAGGAATGGATCAGTTTTGGACACAAGTTTGCCTCAGTAAGTCACTGATCCACTGCTACCGTTAATACTGCCTTTTTTCATTAAATTCTTCATCAAGTTTTTCATTTGATTTCTCTTCATGTACAGTTTTTTTTTTTTTAGTTAATCACAAATCGACCGGCCAGTGATTGGTCGGAATAGAATGATTTTTGACATAATTCAGACACCAATAATTCTGGCCTGTTGCAGGAGATTTATTCCTCAGGAAGGCGAATGCGCAGGAACCGATTTTCTTTTAGCACTTCATTTCGATCTCCAAGAACTTCAGGTTTAAAGTTGCTGTCAGTTTTAAGGAAATCAGAATGGGAAGAAATTGATTTTGGCGAGTCGCACACAAAAAAAAAATTAAAAAAAATGGAATTGACCATAAGAATACAGTCGTGTGTCTTTAGCAGATTGTGTGCTTGTGCAATAGTAATATTTTTTTTGTTTGGCATTTTATGCATTGACGGTAATAGACTGTCTATTATTCGACTATTCTACCAATATGCTGTCTATGCTGCGTACTGTTTTCAGAGCGTAGAACCAACAGCAGGATGTTACGTTAATAGGAAGTGATACATTTTGACATTTTTATCCACCTCGTACAGATTCACACACCTGATCTCTGCAATTAGGGAGTATTAGCCTGATAGGAGTTTAAGCTGCATTTTGGTATTTTTGATCTGCAGTTTTTATATGTGAATATATACCACCGCTTTATTTCTGTAAAACTCTGTTTAAAGATTTATGTAAAACTGTTTAAAATGCCAAACAAAAAAAAAACAGCCCAAAAGTTCTTTTCTGTCACCAATAATGGGTTGGTGCTCCAAATTCACTTCTTTTCCAATAACCTTTTTGATTCACCGTTGTGTTTGTGTAGAGAATTGGTCACGGTGACAAGAACCACGCAGACCAGGACAGATCACCCATTTTTGTGCAGCTTATTGACTGTGTGTGGCAGATGTCTAGACAGGTGAGTGTGACTTTTTTAGTTTAAAAAAAAAACAAAAAAAAACTGGGTTTAATACTTAAGCCCAAATTCTCAACTCATATATATCATATATATTGTACAAACCTGTACATGTATATTTTTTTTTATCTGTACAAACAGCCACTAGTGGCCGCCACCTAGTGACTGGAGGCTTGTTATCGTTCACGAATTACAGAAGTGGTACACTTAAGTCCATATGTGTGCTGTATTCCATTTGACACTTTATCTGTACCGTACCTTACACGTACACTATGTTACACTTACTTAAACTTAGAATTAACTTACGTTTTTTGCTTTTTTCTATTTGTATTCTTTCTTTATCGGGGACCATACTCGTATTTATTGTCAATTTCATGCTTTATTTCCATGGTCATCATGCATTTCTTCTTCTCACTACCATCCTTACCACTCACTTTCTTAGGACTCGTCACTATTATGAAGGATAATGCACAAAATAGAGAGAAAATCATGTAGCTAATGCAAACACAATACGGAAGACTCACAGGAGATGCGTACGGAAATCGACAAACGGGTGAAGTGAACAAGTGAGGCGGCGTCGGCGTCTGTAAGCGTGCTCGTAACTCAGATCTTTACCCGTATCTCAAAGCAAAAATTAGCTTGAAAGCGTGCTCGTCTCTTGAAATACTTTGGATGTGGAGACACTTGTATCTCGAGGTTCCATTGTACTGATTTACAGTAATGCTGGGCATATATACATATACGTATATATATATATTTATTTTTTTCGCTATAAAACAGTAGTAAAAGAATGCAAAACAACATATTCCAAATTATAATTTGATAAATAAATGCATTTGTAAATGAATAATTAAACTGTAATTAAAAAAAAAAAAAACGTATTAACTGAAATTACACTTGAGTTTAATTGTGTTTAAACAAAGCATTTTCTCCCGTGTACAAACGTCTACTGATTTCCGAACAATTTAAGTTGACTACCGTATTTTAAAGCGTTCTTAATTCACATTTTAACATGACTTAAGGCGAGCCCGGGAAAATACCATGATTTGTTCCATTTTATATGCAAATTCACAACAACTGTCATTTGCGTTGCTCTCAGTCACTCACTGAAAACACTTCTTCATGTTCGTTTTCGTGAGTTTGACAGGACGCCAGCCAAACAAAGCTATTACAAACCATTACAAAGTTTCCATTTAGCTGTTATTGTGTGTCACACTATTTATTTATTAAGTTATATTTTCATACGGCATTAGCTTTCCACCCTCATTTATACTGTAATGATACTTACGATTATTCATGTTAATTTTTTTTTTTCAAGTGACAATCTTCAAAGTCTAAGGAACACAGTAGTCAGCACATCTCCAGTAGGCTGCCCTGTTCAAATTTCACTTCCCATGAAACATTAGAATGACCTTGGGCTATGTCAGTACTTCTCTGGAAGTGCTTCCAATGGAATATGGCACGCTGGACATAAGTGGACCACTGCTATAATGCTTGAACGATACCAAGCCTCCAGTCACTAGGTGGCAGCAACTCATACAGTGGTTTGTACAGATATAAAACACATTTCTGTCATGACAGAAAATAATTGAGAACTACTGGGCTACGTGGATGTGATGAGGGCAGCGCCCTCTCTTGGTCTAGCTGCTAGCTTCTGAAAAGGGATTATATGGACATTGAGACAATAGAACCCTAAATACTCCTCCAGCACCACACTGCCTGTGTCACATATTTGTCCTTGTTGTTGGACCGAATAATCTCTCTGAAGACATCTCGATCAGCATTATTTATAAAACATTTACATGTTGAGGAAATCCTACTATCTGTTGTCATTTGTGGATTCAGGTCTTTTGACCTGATTTCAAGTCGATAAGATAAATTCAATATCATGTCCAGGCCACTTTGTTCCATGCTGCTGATATGAAGTCAGTGTCTTAAGACATAACATTTTAATCAGCAGGACATTGTACGTATCTGTGTATGTCTACAGACTCTCGAAGCTGTTACGTAAAAAGGCGTTAGGGCCATGTCGCAGATTAAAAGTTGCAAGAATAAAGATGTAAAGTTTACGAGAGCTTACATCAAGCGCTACGTTTATTTGAACGTAGACTTGTATTTTTTTACGACAATCGAGTTGTGCAAGAATTTAGTTAAGAAGTGAAGCGCGCATTGATGCAAATGTAATTGTATGTTTTTACGAGAATAAACTTGTACTTTTACGAGTACGAAGTTATTCTTTTGTAAGAATTACGTCGTAATAATCGCAATCGTGTACAAGGATGGGGTTGCACGTTTACGAGGGTCCTGCGCTAACGATGCTCATAAACTTGTGGCTTACGACTTCAATCTCATGCTTCTATATTTTTTGTAATTGTTACTGTGGCGTTAATACTCTTTCATACTTTGGTATCTGTATAATTTAATTTGTCTTTTGTTTTTTATTGAAAATGTATGCACTCGGAGGCATAACATTGCTCCATCTTACCTTCAGCCGTACAGTAAGATCACGTTTTCTTTGGAATAAAAAACTCAAAACTCATTACAGACAAGATATAATTCATTCTTAAGGGCGTCTAAAGGCCTCTGTGTTTATCTTAGGCACATTGTGTGAAAGAAATGTCACACAATTTTGTTCCGAGAGGCGGTAAATGAAAAGTACAACCGCTCTCTACCCGCACTCTCCCTCTTTTAGTTTCCGACAGCCTTTGAGTTTAACGAGCGTCTTCTACTCACCATCCTGGATCATCTCTACAGCTGTCGCTTTGGGACTTTCCTTTTCAACTGCGAGAATGCTAGAGACCAGCATGTAAGAACGCAGAGCCACTCAACACAAAATTGTCGACGCTAAATTGTCTGATGAATGATTTTTTTTTCATTGCACCATATCTGTGTTGCAGGAGCTGAGGTCAAAAACGGTGTCTCTCTGGTCAATGGTCAACAGTAAGCAGGACATTTACCTAAACACATTCTATACCCCTGAGTCCGGCAGAGTGCTTTATCCTGTCGCCAGCATGCGCCATCTAGAGCTCTGGGTGACATACTACATCCGCTGGAACCCCCGCATACGGCAACAGGTAAATGGTGGTTCACTGATCGTGCACCTGTCAACCAGAGATCAGGATGATGAGTCTGTAACTTAAGTTGCACAAACACTCGCAACTCGGTTAGCTCGAGACTCAATCCACGCTTTAATCTCGTAAACATTTCCAATTCAAGAAATGAGCGCCGCAGATCTTTATTTAATTCATTTCAGTCTTTCAAATGTGTTATTGTCGTGGGAATATCGTGGCAAGCCGGCGTAGTTCCCTTGATGGTATGTGACGGGACGCAACGCAGCACAGTGTGAATGTTGCGGCATAAGTGACGCAATATTGACGAGCTCACCTCAAGCTGTTATCACATTTGGTAAAGAAACGCAGAAAAAGTATTTCACGTTTTTGTCGGTTTTATCCGTTTCTAAAGGCTGCCGCGCCGTCAGTGTCTTTGACGCGGTAGAAGAAATTCAATCTAAATGAGTCGTTAAATAGATATTCAGCAAAGCACCTGACCTAGGCTTTTTACTAGTGATGTGCGGATCGATCCTGAAATATCGATACTTC